TTTTAGGTTGGACAAAGGAAAATGCACACATAGAAACTTGCCTAGTTCATTTAATTTCAGTATTTATGTTAATTCATCGTGATGGATAAATTTTGTAACACAACTTGGTATAGGACGGGTTAGTAGTTAAGTTACATATTTATTATTTTAAAGTCTTCCACCTGTAAACGGTTTTCATTTAGATGTCATTTGGAGTGTTTATGGAGAATTTGTTTTAGATGACGTGACATTTCTCTCGTAAAAACTCGGATGGGCAGATAAAACAGAACCTGTTAGTTACGCCTTTAGGGGCCGCCACGTATAGCTTTAGTTTATGCTGTAGCATCGGTTATTGCTCTGGTTACGAATGACCCAATCTATCTATGGCAACTGATTCCATACGAGTCAGTCTGTCAGTTGCAGCTGATGAGGGCGTTACATCATCACTTTTACTAGATAAAATTCCCAATCCTTGTTATTATCATTCGATAAGGTAACGTGATCGGGTAAATGTTTAGTAAACGAGCCCTTATTTACCTATTTATGACTACCGAGATTCACAGATAATGTTTTTGAATATTATCATGCCTATTTAGTTAAAAAAGAGGGGAAAAGGGTAAGCAAACAAATGGCCATTCGACCTTTGGTCAGAGCATTATCTTTCCATCAGTTGTTCGAGTGTGCATTTAGTATATAGGGCATGTCTATGATGAAGCTACATAGGACATTAATAATGGCTTCTATTGCAGTTTGGGCTTAGTAATTAATATAGCTACATCACACCACACCCCTTTGGTATATGCTAAATTTATGTAATAAAATTAGACAGATGACATAACATCCATTCTGTTAGGCGACCGTTTGTTTTAGTTTTTATTTAGTATAACGATAAAAAAAATTACTCAATCGATGTAAAAGGAACGTTCAATTCTTTCTATTTTGTATTTATTTGACCTAATAAACAAGTTTTTTCAATACACATGGTGTCGATTGATTTTAATGTGACATTTTGCCACACAATCAATAACTATGATATAATTTGATAATTTGGCATCCACCATACTAATGGTTAGAATGTAAACAAAATAAGAATAGATTGAAGTTTTGCTATACTAATTGAGGAGGTTGACACTAAATAAGAATTAAATTAAGCACAAAAGTAGAAAACATTGATTAAATGTATCTGTGGATCTAATTTAATATTAATTATGTTTATAAGAATGGTGTTTATTTGGATGTCAATTTATTGGAGGAATGGATATATGCCTCGAGTTATTCCTTAATCTTGAAAAGATGTTGGCCGAGGGTATCAACAAAGCATTAGCATTGTCGCGTAAATCGGCCCTTTCTTATCACCCTTCATATTGGATATGCCAAAGTACAATTCTTTTTTTTTTTTTTTTTGTAAGGGATGAATGGTGGTAATTTTGTAATAAATGAGAATAAGATGTCCATGAAACATGGTGAACCACATTGTGAACCAAAGTACAATTCTTATTAGGACCATCTAACTTTTCTCAACATTGTCCAACATCTTTTCAACCTTTATTTCTCTCTTGATTCTTTCCTAGTTTACTACCATTTGTCTCAAATCTACTTCACATTTTTCATCCAACTAAACGTCTATAACTCGATGTTTTTTAGCTATGTGACCTTGGGATTATACAAATAGGCGAAGCATCGTGTGTGATACATAACAAGAAATCTGAACACTATCACATTTAATCTCATGCACACCCGTGAATTACGCTTTGGAAGCGAATCATATAACAAAATGTCTAAACGGATAACTTTGTATCTCGTGTAAGAAATTGTTTAACAAAATGGTTGAAATTAATATCTTTACCAACCGTGTATATATATCATGTGTCATACATATGATAAAGTTTAAAAGGGCAAATTGATAATCATTCATCTTCTTCCTTTCGTTATGATGAATTCAAAAGACCGTCCCAACTTTTGATCTTTAATTATAACTCAAATATTAAGAACATGAGTAAGGGCATGTCTACCTAAATGATTACTCCATGACTGTTTACCAATATGAGTTAACGCTATAATTTATTTTGATACGAAAAATTTTAATACATCAAAACGTATCAAATGCGACAACTTATCTGGTAAGCGCTTACCTAGGTAAGAGTCGTCATCCTCATTTACCCGGTAAGACTCTTCATCTTTCTCATTACTCTTACCTGGTAAGATTATTGACCCTTGTCATGTTCATCCGAGGAAGAAATTCATCCGGTAAGCACTTAACAAGTAAGCATTTAATAAACGGTCCCTAAGTTAGAAAACCTAAAGCAAGAATGTGAGCATAAACTCTGAATGAAAATAAAAAACAAACCTTAATTTGGAATCTATAAAAACTTGAAACCCATGAATAGCTAACGAAGATAAAAATAACCCATATTTACAAAAAAAAAAAAAATTAGTTCAAAGACTAATTAAGAATGTTGGTTGATTGGTTGAGCAACGAGATTGCCGGCCGGTTCACTTCTACTCCAAGTATGCTTCTGACAAACTTACTCCTACTCCTACCTTTCTTTTAAATCAGGTAACTAATTTATCTTTTAACTTAATCTAATAATTATTATTTTTCAAACTCTACAACCTTCGTTGAGCTGCAAAAGTTAATACAGGTACCTAAAATGCATACGTTAACCACAAGAGTGGTACCTGATTAATTTGAGCTTGACTTCAAAGATCAAAAGTACCAAGAAGTCTCAGATTCAAATACAAGGAGGAATAAAAATCCTCTTGTGGCCACGGAAGTTCAAATGCGGTGACTCCGGGCTATCTGCAAAGCATGTAGTCGTCCTGAGATTAGTCGGCTTGCATAGCGGGTTGGATATCCAGGTTAATCAAAAAAATAAAATGCAGACGTTCTGTATAAACTATTTTACATAATTAATAGATGATATAAATATTTACCAAAATACTCAAACAAAAGAGTTTTCATTTTTTTTCCCTTTTAAATTACAGCATAACAAACATAAGTATCATTAAAACAACATCATTCAGTGCCAGGAAAAAAACAAATGGTCTACAAAAACCGTGTATGAAATTGCTTGTAGCTTATACTCTATAGTCTATAGTCAACGGAAGAACTATTAAACCACTTCACAAGTCACCAGGTTAAACCATCATGTTTAAGATTTTAAACTATTTCCTTTACTAAATGGAGAGCCAACAAGGTTCTAAAGCATTAATCATGGGTTGATGACGAATTTTGAGTCCACAAATTTTCTTTTAGAAGACTCGTTAATTTACCATCTATCTAACCCTACCAAGATGATCAGTATAATTGGTTTTATATCTCTTTTGCACATACAACTTCAAATGCATATATGGAGGACGTGACAACATTATCTTGATTAAAACTTTACTTTCTCCATTTTCCTCATCTTTATGACACTCTGCACTGCAAAGTCCAGGAATATATGCTTTATATCTCATTTTATTTTATTCGTATTTCGTACAGATTTTATGTACGTCAAATTTTGTCAATTTACATCAACCTAGTGGGAAACTGTCGTGCAATGTTTCTCTAACTATTGATGCTCACATTACCCTTAAGTTTCAGTGTCTCTTTGAAGCACAAAAGGTCGGTAAAACAAATTGATCTAAAAGCTAGTTTGCACGCATACGACGTTCCCCATCAATTATCATCGATCTCTTGATAAAACCTTTAGCACATAGTGTACACATGTTGATACCATGAGATATATGTGTAGGATATTCCGTATGCACAAGCATATGCAAATTACTTTATCGTCCTATAAATAATTTTCGAATGAACAATATTGTTTAACAAACTGTGAATCAATGAAAGGCATTCAAACGTATAAATGCATTACCGGGTAACTACTCCTTGGGCAGTCGGGGCACTCGCTCCTACTGCCAAGGGAGATTTGCCCAGCAATTCATTTGCTACAAGAAGTCGCTTAGGGAAGGTAAGTGTTCTTCTAAGAAGCCTTGAAAAGTAACGTAGTATGCATTTATGATGATCATAAGAAAAGAAATCTTCACTGGTATTTCAAATTAACTTATAAGCAGTAATGCTTTATCGTTCGAAGTTTTTGTTGAAGTCTCTCTCCCACTGATATGTCTTAAAAATAAACGTAAGTGGTCCTAATTTATGTGCATAACAAATTTATATACTATTAATTCACTTGCTAACCAGCTTGTGAATACTTTGAAATTACTATTAAAAATTGATTCTAATATAGTTGTTTTATATATGTTTTATATGTCTCTAACAATATATATATACACAAACACATTACTTTATAAAAGAAAAAATACTAACTTCGAAGAGATGATCAACTACACATCTAAGATATTTCAGATTAAAAAAAATTAACGGTTTTTATACTACAAATTCTTGTCAATATATGAACGTACATATTCAGTGGACGATATAGGTTTGCTCATGCCCTCTCAAGCATGAGAATAAACAGGTTGCAAATATCCCAAGTTATAAGGGTTCGCTCAGACGATATTTGATTTTTATGGGACGATTTAAGAGATACAAACTGTTTTGCTTCGTGTACAAGATTGAAAACATTATTAACCTAAACTCCTTTTCGCGCTCCCTGACTCCCACATCCAATCCTAATTTATCTCCTGCTCTCCTCCATATCAATTTCATCCTTTGCAAGTCTTTTGACAACAGCCTTGTTAGAGCAAATGATGGAGGTTTCATCAGAAGCAACGACGAAAGTGAAAGGAAGACGAAGAAGCTACCAATCTTCTTTCAAGATTATTTCTATCTTTCCACAATTTCGTCAACGAATAAAAAGTTTCTGTCTATCTCTGTATACACACATTGAGCACTAAGTTTTGTTGCTTCATCTGAATTTCTTAACTTTTATTATTTGTACGATGTAATAACAATATTTGTTGTTAATTCAACTGAATTCCTTAAAGCAAATTAATAACCAAATAAAGCAAAATTTGTTGATATACACTAATGTTATTCTAATAGTTGCTTATCATTTTCGTTTGGTTTTTCCATATTTGGTTATTGGTTTTTTTAAGCAATTCAAACGAATTAACAAAAAAGATATTATCCTTGTTTCAAACAACATCATAAAGATTAAGCAGATGAATTAACAATAAATATTGCACTATGTGTGTACAGAGAGAGGTAAAAAACCTTCACATTCGCCGGATGAAAATTGTGAAAAGACAGAATCAGTAGCTGATGATGATTGGTAGCTTCTTCATCTTCTTTTCTCTTTACTCGATGCTTCGGATGAAACCTCCATGGTTCACTCTAAGAAGATGGTTGCCAAAAGAAGTGTAGTTATCAACGAATGAAATCGAAGAGATGATAAGGAGTTTAGAACGGGACATGTAAGATGATTTAGGAGGCGTCGAAAAGAGTTGAGGTTAATCATACTTCCAAGCCTATGCACAACACATAACAATTTGTACCTCTTAAATTTTCAATACAACGGTTTGATATTAAAAAGTAAAAAAAACGATAACAGTAACCATAATGCCACATAGTTAATGGATTCAACTAAAAAGGTAACGTTTATATGAAGAACACAAACGAGAAACAAAATTTTCAACAAACCACATAGACGAAAAACGTAATTTACTCTTATTTAAATATTAAATTTTCCTTTCGACCATCATCATCTCCTTTGATTAACCGGGTTAAACACACCCGACATCGACGTCCAACTCAAGGTACCTTCATTGGATCCTTACCCTTCAACAATTTTTGGCAATCTAAAAACTAACAACGTAATCTATTTGAACCTATTTTAATGCTTAATCTAGTGGATATCGGATGGCAAACGTCTACCACAAATCTACGTCCATATCGTGAGATTAATCAATCAAACAGATATTTATATGTTAATCGCTGGTCGTCGTTCCATTATTTTAGGTTATACGTCATCATTATCACCTCCCGGCCGGCGCACACCACAGCCAGTGTCACGGTGGTAGACTACTCACAATGGTCAGAAACCATGATTCGACCAATTATAACAACGAAAACCACTGATAAATTAAGAATTAAACTCGATTAAATTGCTAAAGTTAGGGGATGATTTGATATACCTTCGATTTGTGGTTCAAATCTCAGAACCGCTAATAGCAAACTCGGTGTCCGATCGATTGAGGCTCTAAACCTCAGTTTTTTCTTCGTCTCTTGAAGGAATTTCACAGACGAGGCAGTAAATTTTATTTCCGGCCGGTGATAGGGAGTAGGGACGATAGGCGACCAGCACATCGCCTGATTTGGCCATTGTTGTTCGAACTCCCCTCACCGTTTCGGTCATAGGTGATACGTGCCCGTCATTCAACCAATGTTTAATGCAACTTTGTAAACAGGTCCATATCTTTTCTTATAATTGCATTCGACCCCATAATTTAGTGCAGATTTGCAAATAGGTCCTCGTTCTTTTTGATAATAAAATCCGCTCCCCTCATGGCAAATCCATCAAAATTGGAGATAGGTACGAGCAGGGTTGACACATGGTTGGGTTTATCGGGTTGAAAGTATTTGAACAACCTAGTTTAATGTTTGCACTTTAAAATAACGAAAAAAAGTCAAATTGAGAATATATAAAAAAGACTTACAAACTCAAAAAAAATGATAGTTCATGCAAATAAAAAAGTAAAATTACGGTTGAAATTATAATATAATTTTGAATATAACTAATTACGGGTTGATCTAACTTTTAAGGAAAAGTCTAAAAAACTCAATAGACTTTAATGTGTGAAATGATAGTTTTTGGACAATTTTTTGGAACAAATAAGTCCTTAAACATTCCAAAACTTGTTAAATAATTTTTTAAACTTTTTAAAACTTGTTAGATACATCCTTATTACCTATAAAACTAGTTAATGTGGTAAAATAATAAAAAAAGTCGAGGGGGGGGGGGGACCTCAATGGACTTTCATATGATCCTTCACTAAAACCAACAATCTATAATACTTGATGCAAACCCTAATTGAAGAACCCAAATACAAACCTTACAAATCTAAAAGAAAGGCTTCAAAATCTGAAACAAATTTGATATGAATAGAGCCAATATGAAGTAAACCCAAATTCAACTAAAAGATTAATGATTTACACAAAATGTCAATAAAGTTGAGGGTTGCAGATATGGTGTAACACCCCCATTCCGAAGGAAGGGATGTTGCTTCAAAACATAACGGAGCCGCTATATAAAACCTACAAAATAGAGTCTCCAATACAAGAAAATAAAATAAAATCTTCCAATAACGAAATTGAATATATCTACAAATAAGATATAAAGGTCTCCAAATAACCACTTCCAAAATCCTCCAACAACCGAGGAAAATCCAAAAACAACCCTTAAAGGAAATCTAATCTAATAGCCAAAAGGGAAAAAAAACAAATTCCAATAAATGAATTAACATAACACTAAGCCTCTTGAAATCCTTGGAACCAAGATCCTGGTCTACACTCTGTCACAAAACCTAGCCGCCCCTTGATTACCTGTCGTGAGGAATAGAATAAAACACGGCTGAGCCAAATACCCAGTGAACGGATAAACAAATGTAGAAAAATGGTAATACAAACATGCCAAAATTATCCCAAGGCATCGAACCAAACGAGTACCAAAATCTTAGAAAATCAACAAATAACATAATCATACGAAATCATATGAAGGGACAAATCGAGCTCGAAAACGCATACACTTGCATATTAACTAACATGACAAGTGTCAGACATATGGCCACACAGGCTTGTACGTTGGGCTGCAGATCCACACGTACCAAATGTGAGACGTGGCGTTGGACACTACACCGACATCCACCCTACAAACGAATCACAAGTGCTAGGACCGACCCATACGCCTCCTAAATCTAATATCCATCACACCAAAATAGCTCTCATAAGAGCACAAAAGAGGAGACGTCGTGGACTGATCACACTGCCACAGTTAGTGTCACGCCATCGGTGTCACAATGACGTGCCTATGGTACTCCCATAGGTGGTTAGTAGCTCGAGTTACCCAGAGTTAAGTTGTCACAACGAATGTGACGTTATACGTCTTACATAAGGTCAATAAATAACGAAGTCAAACGAAAAGTCAAACATAAATCAAGTAAGAAATTATGTTGAATAAACAAGTAGTCGTAATATAAAGAGGCTCAATTCAAAGAATACATAATCGATCAAAAGTACCAACATATGTACTTTTAGAGGTAAAAATTATACCAAAATGTTACCAAACAAATAAACGTATTATTTTGGTGAAAACACATACTTGTACCAACATTGACCCACTTAAATAACATGATTAGAAAGTGGCTTTCTTATGATATGTACGACATAGAACAATTGCAAGTGAATGGAAATGCGGTACAAAAAGAATTTCAATAATCGTGAGTCAATCAATCCGAGTTGAAAGAAAACTTAAGGGCTCGTAAACAAATGTAAATGAATCAAATAAATGAATAGAATTAAGAATCTGTACCTTAAACTTCACAAAACTTATCGATTCCCCAAGTTTATTCATTTATATTTGTCCTAAACAAATAACAGACTTACTATTAATCCTAACTAATAACTTGATGGCATAATGAAACTAAATCACTTTAACGACTAATAATGTAACTAAACTCACTAAATCCTATCAATATATATATATATATATATATGTATATATATATACATATATATATATATTCATACTATGCAAACCACATAAGATCAAATTCGAGAGAAAAACGAGAAGAATTTTTGGGTTTTAAAGACGATTTGGACATACCCTATTTGCTGCCATTATTATTGACCGAATCGGTGACTTTCGAGTCACCGAAATAACTCAAATCTTACTTAAACAATCCCAAAATTTATAACCCAACTACTAATTGTATAGATTCGAGAATGGGACAAAAACTTACCTCAAACCGACAAGAAATTGATGGAACATTGCTTGCTTTTGGCCGTCGGGTTCCCTTTTAGGTTATCAATGGACTCTTCCAAGCTCTTAGGGTTTATTTTTAACGATTATCACAATTAGAGGAATTAGGGTTAGGGAGGAGGAATTTGGTTAAATAAGGATTAGGGTTAGATTTAAATAAGGGGAATTAGGGTTAGGTTAAACCCTAATCTACAAACAAAAAGCCCAAGCCCATTAATTGCAAAGTTAAAGCGATTTATGCAGAACTAACCCCTCAAGTTTGGTCAACTTCCTAAACTAACCCAAACTTCAATAAAAATATTTTTTTTAAACATGCACTGATATATATATATATATATATATATATATACACACACATACATATCTAACGGGTATTATAATTATAATTGATTATTTTTTTATAACTTGATAATTATTCTAATTATATTTTAGATTTTTTATATTTTAAAATAAGATGTTTATCATCTATTTGATTATGTTTATCTGTAGTTAGTTACACGAATTCAAACATGGAGCTTTAATAAGTTGTACTCATACATAATTTACTTGTAATCTTAAATTTCAAGTAATATGCATTAATATACAGTACTTCATGCATAAAAAATAGTTGTTAAGAGGTTTTATTAAATGTTTTATAATATAGTATAGATACCAGTTCTTATACTCCTTTAGTTTATCTGTATTTGGTAAAAACAATTTAGTAAACATTATGTATTATTTATTAATGTATAACTTCATAAAATTCGAGTTTAAAATTTATTATTGAATATGTATATAACTTTTTAAAATGTCTATTGGGTTTTTTCATGGGTATCTTGGGTTGTTTTGAGCAGGGTTGTAAATGAATCGAACGGAGACTTGTTCGTCTTTGCTCATTTAACTTAATCGAACAAATACGAACGATGAACGAATGAAATTTTTTGTGTTCATGTCTGCTCGTTAAGAAAATGTTTTTGTTTGTGTTCATTTACTTTTGTTCATTAAGATGCTAAACGAAGAAACATACATGGCATAAACGAACGTAAACAAATGAACTTTAAAACAACCATCATTACTCATCATTCTGAAATAACATAACAAACTAAAAACCGGGTAAACAGGATGGATAAAAAAGGAATTCAAAAAAATTAATTATTAATTTCACATATTAATGTCATGGTATATAAATATAATTATATATAAAAACGAACATAAAGGAACATATATGAGCGAACGTAAACGAAGATATGTGAACGAAAATTAATGGATATAAATGAATGAAATTCACGAAAGTAAATGAACGAACGAGACAATTGTTCATGTTCGTTCATTTAACTAAACAAACAAAAAATGTGTTCACGTTCGTTCATTTTTTAAATAAACGAACTTTCTATCGAACGGTTCAAACATGGTTTGCTGAACATTCGATTTGATTACAACCCTAGTTTTGAATGTTTATAATGGAGGGTTTTTTGCTTTTGCATCTTGTTGAGGTTGTGTTGTTGGTTTAATTTTTGTAGGTTGCTTCTTGTTGTTGGGGTAATAAAACTTTTGGCCTTTCAATACATAGGCGAAAGATCATGTGAGAAAGAAAATTACGGTGAGAAGTATAATAAATTATTTGAACCTTTGATCACTTTTAATCTCACGCCTAATTGCGCTTTAGAAAGGAATTGATCTGGTGCATCTTGGTGCACCTCATTAGTGTTGACACTCAATTAGGATTGATTCAGGATAGTGATCTCTTCCTATGTTTCTAACCATAACTTCATTTCTTATCGAAACTCAACCCTCAATATGTGTGTGTGAGAGAGAGTATATACAGGGGTCTAATCTTGTAAGGACCAAGAAAATGTTGAGAACTATGATGACCGCTCTAAGCCTTAATTTGGTTTTGATCATATGGTTTTAACTTAAAGTTGTTTTTAATTTAAAAAGGGCATGATCGTCGTTTTGATAAAAAATTCACCCGATTGAAACATACAGATTCATTCACCAGATGAAACACACGTGTTCACCATATAAAACACATACTAACCTTTATTTTACCTCATGAAATAAACCACAGTTTTCATAAAATATGCTATTTTACCTAACAAAAATCCAAACATAATGTGCATATATATCTTAATTTTTCATAAAATGATGAAAATTTTGTTTTCTTTTAGATGGAAAGGTGATCATGGAATACATCGGAGCAACCGAAAAATAGTGACTTTCGATAGAGTTCCTAACAGTGACGACATCGAAAATTATCGTTTCCTATAAACTTCTTGCGGTTTTTGTAGCATGATCAGGTTCTTCATCTTTGATTTCCGGAGGTCATTTTCCTTGACGAGATTCTTGTCAGTCGATCCCATAATTATTCACATTAGCCCAATTGTTCTTGGTTTCACGACTACAGTTCT